AAAAAAAAAAAAAAAAAAAAAAAGCCTGGGGCTACAGCTCAGCGCAAAGGGCCTGGGTTCAATCCACAGTGCTAACCTCAGGCAGACCTCCCCAGCCTCAGCACAGCCAGCAGTGTCTGACCTGGGGGAGCGGGGACACGACACAGAGTCAGCGCTGGCTGAGGACCCTGCCCGGCCAGAAGGGACGTGAAGTACACAGCGCAGGGAGCCCTGGCGCCTGCCCTGTCCTCAACTGCGGCACAGAGCAGCCAGCGGCCACCCACGCTCCTCCTCCCGCCTGTGAGTCACCACGGTGCAGCCGCAGCTCCAGAGCACGCAGGGTGCCGCCCAGCGCTCGACCCAGACCCTGAACTCGGACTCGGGACCTGGGAAAAGGCTGACTCCATGGACCTGGCCCCAGAGGGGGTGGGAGTGGGGGGACTCACGCAGGGACAAGGCGGCGGGGGCCAGGCCCCTGCCTGCGGCCATCCACACTTGCCCGCCTCCTCCTCCACACTGCCACTGCCGAGCTGAGCCCTGAGCCCAGACAGAGGCCGCACCCCGCGTCAGGACCGCAGGGAATGCGCGCTCTCAGGGCACTCGCCAGCGCCCCCAGCCTGCAGCAGGAAAGACTTTGTAGGCCACAGGTGGCTAAAGTCAAACTTTAGCTCCTCAGCTCAGCTCAGCTCCTCCGTGCACGCGACGGCCGCCTGCACATCCAGTGGCCTCAGGAAGAAGCATGCCAAGCTCTCCACAGGGCAGGCTGCAGCGCAGACAGGACCCAGAGCCCCGTTGGAGGGCCCCTGCGTCCCAGGGCCCCAGGCAGGAGGGAGGCCCCCCGGCTGCAAAGCAGGGAGACGGAGAGGCAGGGACAGGAGTTGCTGGGGACAGCCGCAGGAGCAGGAGCACGGCTGCACCCAAACCCGACCAACAAAGGGGTGACGCCCAGCAGCCACGGGCCCTCACCCCGCAGAGAGCAGCTCTTCCCCCCTGCACCGAAGGCGGAGGAACTGAAACCCCACACCCAAACCCACACAGAGCTCGGGAACAGCCTTAGGGCCCAGCGTGCTCCACCGCCTGCCGCGGGGACAGAGGAAGGCACAGCCCAGCTGCAGGGGGACAGACAGACCCAGCACCCTCCACGCCCCACCGTGGGAGAAGCCACCCCAGCAGCCACACGGGAGCCCACGCACAGCACAGGACAGGAAGTCCACACGCGCACAGCCTGGCACACGGAGGAAGAGCACAGCACGGGGGGGAGCTCACTCCACGCACACCACACTCCACACACCACACAGTCCACACACACCACACTCCACGTTCCACACACTCCACGCATACTACACTCCACACACACCACGCTCCACATACCACACACATGTTCCACACACACCACGCTCCACACTCCACACACACACTCCACACACACCACGCTCCACACACACACTCCACACACACCACGCTCCACACTTCCACACACACCACGCTCCACACACCACACTCCACACACACCACACTCCAAATGTTCCACACACCCCACACACACCACATACTCCACACATACCACATACTCCACACACACCCACATACTCCACACACACCCACATACTCCACACACACCACGCTCCACACACACCACACTCCACACAAACCACACACCACACGCTCCACACACACCATCCTCCACACACAGCACACATGCTCCACGCTGACGAGGAGAAGTCACAGAGCACTGTGGAGCCAAGGGCCCTGCCACATCCGTGCCACAGCCTCATCCCTACCCAGCCAGGTAGAGATGGCGCCTCAGAGAAGGGAAACACAACGTGAGGTGACAGGACCTGGTGACAACTAAGCCTAACAGCAGGCAGGGGGCAGAGGACAGAAACACCGCAGGGGACTGTGTGAAGGGAGGGGTCCCCAGACGCACTGCACAGCAAGGGCTGGAGGGGCCCCAGGGTCAAGATCCGGAGCGTCCCCGAGTACCACTCCCCACCAGTTTCCTCAGGGGCCCCCAGGCCTAGGCAGGCACAGGACCCGCTGTGGACACAGCCACTGCCTCGAGCAGGACGGCCAGAGCACGGGCAGGAGACCTCGGGGGCAGCTCTCCCACAACCTGCGCCTCCAGGGGGACCCCACGCACGCAGCTGTGGGCGAGCACCGCGCTCAGTGCCCCGGGCAGAAGTGCACAGCAGTGTCCGAGGAACCCCATAAACCGCCTGCTGCCTCTGGACGGTCGGCACACCCACAGGAACATCTCTCACGACCAGGACTATGACCGTGGTCAGCGAGAGGCACAGGGAGCCCTAGAGAACACGCGAAGACGCCCTGGGAAACACTCAGACACGCACAGACCCAAACCCCGCTTCTGCCACGCAGACCACGCCGTGCTTTCGCCAGCCCACAGACCCACAGCAGGCGTGTCCCTGGGGCCTCCCGAGCCTGTCACCTGTCCTCCACCTCTCCACCCGGCCCAGCTCCCTCCTCAAGGCCCCATCAGGGTCTAACTTCGGGGAGGCAGGAAGAAGGCCTGCTGGTCCCCTGGCCCAGAGGGACTCCACCACCTGCCCCACTTGCGACAACCTGGCGACCTCTGGGCAGGGTCCAGCGGGAGGGCCCCATGCCTGGCCAGACAACAACGGCGGGGCCTCTCCAGAACTACGGGGACAGGGACTCCCCCTGCGTGGAGAGTGGACACAGCTTTGCCAGCCCTGGGGGTGAGCATAGCTGCGATTCCGCCGCCCTGTGTCCCACCTTGGCCTGGCTTGGAGAGGGCCACGCTTGCCCCCAGCGGCTAGGCCGCGCCAGTGCAGGAACCCAGGGGTCCCCCAGCCCAGCCAGGACAGCGCCAGGCTCTTCCCTCCCCCCAGCCTCCACCCTCCTGAACCTGGCTTTCCCAACTACCCCAGTGCTTGAGTGACCCCTCCACCCTCTGCAACCACCGGCCAGTTCCCAGGCCAAGCAGACAGCCACTGTCTGCCTCCAGCCCAGGGTGACCACGGAGACGACTCACACAAGCCCTGCAGGACACCCTCTCCCGGCAGTGCACGACCCTCACCCCAAGCACAGGTCGGGGCTCAGGAGGTGGCGGAGACTCCCGGCCACAGTCAGCCGCCCCTGAGACAGACGTGAAGGGACAAGCCCAAGACAGTAGCTCTCGCCGCACCCGTGGGATCTGGGCCAGCAGGCAGGGGGCTCCCTGGAGCCTTCCCGTGGCCCCACATTCCAGCGGGAGCGAGGGCTGCGAGGGGAGTCCAGAGGCTCGAAGAGCCCTGGAAGCTGGGTGCCAGGGGCCTCAGACGGTCCACTGCCCTGCCGCCCCCTCCAGCGAGCCCCCTCCTCAAACCTCTGCGTCGCCCACAGCGGCCGCCTGGAGCCGGACTCGCTCTCCCAGTCTGCCTATCTGTCCCCAGGCGGTTCCCAAGCTCTAAAGAAGGGGTGACCACACCCAGGCACACACGCCTCCCCACCCCTGCCTCTGCCCAACCTCACAAACCAGCTCCTCAGGCTCGGCCTGGCCGGCGTCCGCTCCTGCAGCGGAGCCTCCCTGGGACCCCGGGCTGGCCCCGGAGCCCCCGCCTCGCCCCTCGTGCCCCGACCTCGTGCCCCCCGCAGGGGCTGTCGCAGCTGCGGGGT